CATAAATTGGTGTATATCCTTGGGCAATTATTTTTATACTTATATGAAGTGTCTTCAAATGGCTTATTTCCATTGTTCTACTTTGGGAATCTATTCTAAGGACAAAATTAAGTCCCTAGTTACTGAGCTCCCTTGATCTCTACATGCAGTTTGTAACACCCTTCACAAAGAAAGGCAGGATGGCCCACTGGTTCAGAAGATGATCTTGAGTCCACCTAAAGGAATATATATCGGCACGATGTACATGACTCTTATTTGTTTCCTAGCATTCTCCATGATGACAAGGTGATGACCTCAGGACCTCATCAGATCTTCATGGGGGCAAAAGAGGTAATGTGCACATACCACTTCCACAAGTGAATCGAATAAAGTTTCACCAGAACCATTACTATCTTCATAATGGGACTCAATATAATAGCCCCAAGTGAGAAGAGTCCCAGTGCTCCATGATACAATGGTTTCATGAGTTCTGCTATATGTACTGGAGGGCAAAGTTATTAAATTTCCTCACAGTACACACAGTGTCTAGTCTGGGAACTCATTTCCACTAGAATTTAATGCAGCCTGGATTCACTATGATACACAATGGATCATGTTTTTATGTCACTGACACTAGGATATACTTTATGATTAAAAGAGTTTCACAGTTTAACGGGGTGGGTATGACACAGCCTGCATTTGATGCAGTCTGTGTTAGGCAGAGGAATGACTTCCCAGGGATGTGTATTTGCCTGAACCTGCCCTTGCACTTTGGATAGCAGAACAGAAGTTGCTTAGGTATAACTGGATGAAGGATCTTGAGATGGGGCCATTGTCATGGATTATCCATATGGACATTACAAGGAGTCAGGGGTGTCAGAGTTTTTAGTGGAAGCTGGGTGATAGAAAGAGAGATAGGGATGATATGAGAAGGAGTCAAGAAGCCAAGAAATGCACATGGCCTCTTGTTGCTAAAAATTGCTAGGAGATTATTTTCCCCTGAAGTATGTAAAAAAATTTAGCTGGTGACACCTCAACTTTAAGTCTGTGAGACTTGATTTTGGAGCTCCCAAGCTTTGGAAGAGAAAATGTATTTTGTCTTAAGCTGCTAAGTCCAACATGCTTTACTTCAGCAGTGAAAGAAAATGCTGAAAGTAAACTATAGACTGAACATGATTGCCTCTCAATGCTTATTTTGCAAACCACAGCACCCAAAAGGAGAGCGAGAACAAAAGGGAATGCCCTGCTACAGAGGTGGGGTGTGATGGGGAGAGGGTGGGGGGTGGGAGGGAAACTGGGATCATTGGTGGTGGAGAATGGGCACTGGTGGAGGGATGGGTACTCGATTATTGTATAACTGAAACCCAAGCACAAAATATTGTAAGTCTACAGCTGTACCTCATGGTGTTTCACTAATAAAAATCAAAAAAAAGAAAAAAAGAAAATTAACACAAGTCTGATATTAGGTAAAATCAGGCTTTTTTTTGACTATGGGCACAGACCAAAATTTTGGTGCTGTTTGAATTCAGAATTGCCACTAGACAACACAGAAGGTGATCAATAAAAGGGTAGAGAACACACATTAAATGGAATAGTAGACACCCATGAAAACCGTGCTTATAGAGTCCAACATAAAATAGAAAAATGTAGTTTGAAAGGAAAATTTAAGTTTGCCTTTTAGCAAACTCATATCAAATAATCAAACATCAAATAAAGCATATAAGGAATCCAGATTAAAAAATAAATCTAAACTGTTAAGGCAGGAAAAGTTAATGGTATAGGGGTTATGGTGCTTCCTTGCATGCAACTGACCTGGATTTTATCCACAGCACCACATATGGTCCCCTGAATACAGAGCCAGGAGTAAGCCCTGAGCACCGATAAATATGGCCCCCAAACCAAACAAATTTTAAACAATAGACAACTGCTTTTGTATGTTGGGATATTTTTCTTTCTTTTTAGAGTGCTGAATCAAATTATTCACACAGAATATGAATTGATATTATATATTTCTAGAGAAAAATATAACCATAAAATAATTATTTTATAATTTTCATTATAGAAAAATTGTTCATTGTAGAAAATAATTCATATTTTCTATAATGAATGCCTTTGTTGTCCTAATGGAAAAAATATATATACTCATTTTACTTAAAATGTAGACAGTAATTAACATGAAACAGAAAAAGACAATTTAAATGATGCTAATATGCTTTATGCATCCACATTGCTTATTCAACTAGCAATTAAAAACCTCCAACCCCAGGAACTGCCTGGTGTCATCACTAACTATGCAGTTATCAGGAGTATGTGTTTTGCTTTTGCAAATAAGAACCCACTTTAAAAAATAACTCAATAATCAATACCTTCACAAATTATCTGCTGACCTGATTCTAGGGGCTACAGACCAGCAATTGAATGCAGAGTTGAATTTAAGCAAAAACTGGCAACAGATATAAAGGGGAGGAAAAGACAACAGCAAGAACAAAAACTGGGGTGCCTTGAGAACAGGTTGGCTTCACTTGTGCATGGAGAGACCAAAGGAATAATCTCCTTCACCTTGGCCCAGACATTCCTCACTTTGACCCTCAGTCTCTTCTTCAGTTGCTATGAGGGTATAAGACTCGCTTATCTCTAAAACAGCTGACTGTCTTATAACTATGGTACATGATACACACACAGACATCCCCCACGAAGTCACACATCTACACATGGAATATTGGTATCTGATATTCTGATAAAAAAGATGGCTGATTTAGAAAGGGAAATGCGAAAAATGCTTTCATTCTACTACAGTCTCACTGTCTATTGGGACCGGGGCTGCTACTAAGCAGTGTGCAATGGATGGTGGCAGAATTCTTTTCTGATGTCAACCCAAACATCAGATATTACACGGAAGTTTTTTTTTCACAGCATCAGAAAATAAACTGCACAAGGGCAAGAAGCTCAGCCATCTGAGGGGCTACAGCTCAGACTTCTGCCCTCCTTGTGCCCCAAGCCTTAGAGTTTGTCCCTGTCAGCTCTCTGGGGCATGCATTCCACAGCCTTGGGGAAGATTTCCATGAAAATCTAGTACATTAACACAACTTAATGATAGCTTTTCCAACTAAAAGCAATGCTTGGTAATTTCTCAGTTATTATGGCATTAAATGGGGTGCTTTTCCTGGAGTTTGTTATATAAAATTTGGAGGAAGCTTCAAATGTTAGGCATCTGTTATGTTTTGTAGGCAGAAAAAAGAGACGACCTCATACTGGAAAGACGACAGTCATTTAACCCAAATATTGAGGAACTTAAAGGTTTGTATGGTGGAGTCAATCAAGTAGATATTTAACTCCACTGCAAGACAGCAAGTATGAGTCCGAAAAAGGCATGGAACATCTTACAAGAGGTAAAATATCAGAAGAGAAAGAGAAATTATCTTCAGCTCTTTGGAGAGAGATGGTCTAGGGGAGCTTATAGAGTACATGATCCCCAAAACCTCTTAGGATAATAATATAAGGGACAGAGGTGGAAGGGGCGGTCTTTCTTGGGAGATGAAACAAAGTAAATGGTATCTTGGGGACTCAGAGATTTGAGTATGAATTCAGAACAAAGCCAAGACTGAGATTTGGTGGTACTGCCAGCTCCAGCTTGAAGAGCCATGGGGTACTATGGGACAAAGACTGAAATCACAGACAAGACCCATTCTCCCAAGCCTTGAATGTGTTCCCATGCAGAGACTGCACTGTATCCTGCACAGTAGAGAACCAGAGTAGTAATTAACAGATTTGCTTCACTCTCCCTTTTTTTCAGGGGACAAGTTATTTTTGGCTAATAAGACCTTATAATTTCTCCCTTACATAAACAAGCGTTAAACTAACTTTCTGGTATATCACCAGTTAACTGAAAAAGATTTCAACTATACACAATTGGAACTCTGCAGGGAAGATTTCCTTCATCACCCTAGTGTTTCCTTGATTCTGGGAGCATGCCCCCCCAACCTTCTCCCCCACAAAATGATGGACTAAAATCCTCATCATCTGTAAAACAAGGTCTGACCTGGTCATACCTACTACATCCTGTGCTCTCCAGAATTTCTCATTTCAGGCCTTCTGGCCAGCAGCACTGACTCTAGTTTTTTATGCACAACACCTAAGCTGCCCACCCAATTTCTCAGATGCACTGGCACTAAATTCTATATTCAGTACAGGAAAGCACTGGGCCAATCCAACAGTGCTCCTTTTGTGTTTGTTAGAGAGTATTTACACATAAATGCATATGTGTACACACATTACAAAAAATGCTGAGCACACTTTCCATTATCTTAATATTGTAGTGTAATTTTGCAATGTGAATGATTATTTTTTCCAGGATATTTTTGTTAGCATTTTAAAAGCAGTCCCACCATACCCATTCAGGCAACCAGTCTCCTTTTGGCTGGAGCGATAGCACAGTGGTAGGGCATTTGCCTTGCACGCAGCCAACATGGCTGACCCGAGTTCGATTCCTCCGCCCCTCTCGGAGAGCCCTGCAAGCTACCGAGAGTATCTCGCCCGCACGGCAGAGCCTGGCAAGCTCCCCGTGACGTATTCGATATGCCAGACACAGTAACAACAAAGTCTCCAATGGAGACGTTACTGGGCCTGCTCGAGCAAATCAATGAACAACGGGAGGGCCTCCATTTGTATTTATTGATTAATTGATTTCAGCTGAGTCCTTCAGCCTCCTCCCTATGCTGATATCCATCTCAGATAAGCAGAACAGATAGCAAACATACTTGGTATAATAGTCATACAATTCCCATTTCTATTTTCCGTCAGCTATGTTCAGGATAGACTTTTTCTTTCAAAGCTCTTGAGGTAAGGTTAGTTGAATGTGACAATTGAAAGCAATCTTTCTCTAGATATCATGTGTGGAAATCAATCAAACCACAGTGGTCAAATGGTGAAACCACATATAAAACATCAGGAACAGGGAGACTCAGCCCATGAATGGAGTTCATTAGCTGGAGTGGGTTCCCTATACTCCGCTTAGCACTCACCTCAATGAAGAAGATGCTGGCTGCAGAGGTTGGATGGTGATACATATAGACAGTCACAAGTATGGCTGCTGCTATGATGAGGACCAGGATGAGAATTCCAACGATGAGGCCCGCATGGAGGGTGCCCCCCTTCTTTTCGGCTGCACTGTCATCTGTAGAGGCTGAAAGTACAACACAGCAATAAGAATACTCCCCTTTGCATCCCACTAGAGGGAATTTTAATATTTCTTTTTTTGGGGGGGGGTGGTGAGGTGGGGGTTTGGGTCACATCTGGTAGTGTTCAGGGGTTACTCCTGGGTCTGCACTCAGGAATTACCCCTGCCAGTGCTTGGAGACCATATGGGATGCCAAGGATCAAACCAATGTACAAGGCAAGAGCTTTACCCTTTGTGCTATCTCTCCAGCCACAAGGAATTTTAATATTTCTTTAAAAGTTCAATTAGATTTTATTTTTAAGGTGCTATTCAGCTCTTCTCTTCCAGAAAACTAATTTTGGAAGTTAGATGCTCTTTATAATTGGGTGGTGAAAAAAAGATCCATACTACTAATGATTCAAATTAAAATTTTAATTGGGTTTTAATTTATAGTTCAATAAACAAATTAATAACTTTTATTCTAAAAATACTGTAGACAATCTAAACCTTTAATTAACAGCATAATACATTTAACTTTAATTTTTTTCATTAAACCACTGAAACTTATAGGAGAATTGATTACTTTTTGGGGGGCAAATATCACACATTTTCTGTAAGACTGTTCTTGAGCTCATAGCAAATTTTAAAGATCTGTTTGAAACTGAAATGCTTTTAAAAAGTGTAACAGATGGATGCTAAATGACCCTCAAATAGTTTTTATCGCTATCTGAAGGGAACACACAGCATATAAAAATATTCCACTATGCTACAGACCAATGTCATTTCTCTAACTTTTACGGAGATGCTTTTCAATTTAATACCCATTTTCAGAGTTGAGAAAGGGAGGAATTAAATTTCAAGTCAATCATCCAAAAGAACTAATCTCTAAAGTTTTTCTCTAGTTCTAAAGTCTGTAGTTTTTGATGACTACTCAGGCATTTAGAACAGACCTTCATGAATTTATGTGCAACAGGTAATCTTAGTGACTAATATGACTGGTATTTTGGAGTCACTAGAAAATTCTTTAAGTATCTTAGATATTCTAGAAAGCAATTCTTAATCCTTTATTAACTATATCATTTCCAATATTTGTCTCTGTTTTAAATGTTTTTCATGTGGTCTGTTAAATGTCTAATCTCATTTAATAAACACTAATTTAATGAAAAACCTTTGTTCAAAAAAGTAAACATGACTGTCTACCAGTGTGCAGTTGATACTAAATAACAAGACTTCATAAATAAAGCACAACTTTCCAAGACTTGCCATGGTTGCTGTTGTTTGTTTACTCTTTACTTGAGACCTTTGTATGTGGTTAGTAATCTTTCTCCAAATCAAATAAAATCAAGCTTAAAACCATCAAGTCTTTCCCTATATACCAGGAAAATTTTAGTGGAAGAATATCAGGTTGCAACAGCAATTATCTATATCAAAATGACTTACAAGAGAGTATTTTGGGAAGATGGCAGAGGAGGAAATATCAGAAGCCCGTCTCTAAAGACAGATCAACTTGCTGTCAAGAGTCTGGCCAAACTAGACTGGGCCATGAAATCTCCCAGAGACTAGCAATTCACAGAGGCCAGACTTGGGCTGTTAATTTTTGGTTAAATTAGGTAAATTACAGTCCTCAACTCAGTAATAGCACCCCCGCCCTGGAGCCTCCATCACCTGCCGTCCACTAGTGTCCACCACTTACCTATGTGACAGTAGCTATACTCTAATTCCTATAGTAGCTAGTAGTTGTCAGTGTAAGCAGAATCACCCTGTCTTCCAAATATTGGGGGTCTACCTTGTAGGATGGCATTGGTTTGTCCTTCCTCCCTTGCCATAAGGAGCTTCAGTTATCAGGTTACACCCATCACAGTGGTCCCAAGTTACTCCCATTCCTTTGTTTATCTATAACCATTTCTCTATGCTCTATTCCCCAATCAGTTAATAAGTTTTTCCCCTAATCAGACTCTGTTAACTTCTAAGGTCAGATTCCTTAGAAATGTATGATTTTTATATGTATGAGTGAAATATTGTCTTTCTCCTCTCCTCTCTTTTGAATAGTTTACTTTAAAGCAATGTCCTTTTTGTATAGATATGGGAAGACAGTTAATATTACGCTTTTGTAACTTGGGATTTAATTGACTTCGAATATTATTCCCTCCTGGACATCTGCTTTCTCGACTTAAGCCTCAGTTGCCCTTAGTTCCTAGCACCCTAAAAGCAGGGTCCCGATGAGGGACTGAATGGACCCAGGGCAAGCTGTGAGCTACCCAGGCCAAAGTGCCACAATTCTTAATTATAAGTTAAGAGCTTGATCATGGACAAATGCTGTCATGATTCAAAAGTAACGATGAGATTAGGACCCTATAAGAGATTAGGAAAGACTATTCTGGCCTGAGCACTGTAGTCTGAGATCAAGATAACCCCAGGAGAGTGATTCTATAAGCTTAATGTATCTCTTACTGTGTCCATACAAAATGATTAATATTATGAATGTTTATATGTTTGTTGGACTAAGGAGAGGAGAAACACAATCATCTTTGCTTTTAGGCCAGTCGTCTTGCTGGAAAAGAATCTATCCTGGAAGTAGCTACCCCTGAGGGAAGGACCTTATATCCGCTGATTGTATGATTATACCTATGTGTAATTGTTACCCCAACTCCTCATGCTGGGGGATTTAATTAAACTTCGTAAAAGTGGGCTGGCGGATCTAGATTCCAGAGTGACAAGAAGAATGAAGGGGGATCGAGGAGGAGAATGAAGTAGCATGAGGGAGAAAGAAGCACGAGGAGAATCAGAGGAGAATGGAGAGGAGAGTGGAATAAACTGCAACTGACACCAACCAGCCTGGCTCTCATTCCTTCCTTCGCCTGCCCGTCACCATCGACCTCTCCGGGGGATGGGGGAAGTACCCACTACCAAACGTGGGCGGAAGAGATAGAACACTGCTGCTCCCCTTTTGTGTTTACACATACCTTGAGATTATTGAACAGTGTTTCTGATCACAGAAATACAAAGCAGCTGGAAGCCATTGTTGTTTCATCTCTCATTGTTACAAACTCCCCCCCCCCACACCAGCTAGTGTGACCCCCTTCTTAATTTTTCTCCTTTCCCACCTTTGGGGATCAAATGACAGCATTTGTCCATGATCAAGCTCTTAACTTATAATTAAGAACTGTGGCACTTTGGCCTGGGTAGCTCACAGCTTGCCCTGGGTCCATTCAGTCCCTCGTCGGGACCCTGCTTTTGGGGTGCTAGGAACTAAGGGCAACTGAGGCTTAAGTCGAGAAAGCAGATGTCCAGGAGGGAATAATATTCGAAGTCAATTAAATCCCAAGTTACAAAAATCCAATTTTCCAGAGTTATCACATTCCTACATTCAAATGCTCCATTTTGAACAAAAATCAAAAGAGATGCTATGAAACAGGAAAACATAGATTATTCAAAAAGGAAAAAATAAATCAGCATAAATTGTTCCTGAAAAAATAGACCTGTTGGCAAGATATACTAGATATAGACATAAACAACCCTCTTAGAATGCTAAAAGACCTAAAGGAAAATACAAGGAGAGTTAAGAAAATAATGCATGAAGGAACTAAGAACATAAATAATGAAGGGGGGAAATATCTATAAAGAAACCAAAAATGAAATTCTGGAACTTAAAACAGCAACTGGAATAAAATTTCACTAGGAGAATTCAAATTAATATGTGAGCAGGTAGAAGAAAGAATAAGAAAACTGGACCAGAAAGAAGAGACTGAGGAAAAATGAGAAACTCATTTTTCTCATTTTTATTATTTGATAAAATATCTCACCCAAAAACTGGCCAAGGAACTGCACAGACATTTTTCCAATGATGATACAAATATCCAATAAATATATGAAAATAAATTCAACATAACTAGGGGAGTGCAAATCAAAATCACAATGAGATCAATATTCACAGCCTTTAAATACTACTATTTCAAAAAACAGGACATAACTACTGTTAGCAATGGTATAGAAAAATTAGAAATGTTATATAGTGTTGGTGTGGATGTAAAAATATCTGACCACTATGAAAATCATATGGTGTTCTGTACCAAAAAAAGAAAAAAGGAAATAGAATAACCATATTATCCACCTTGCATATATACTCAAAGTAACATTAGGCAGGGTCTTGAAGAGCTATTTATGTACTCATATTCACAGTATATTATTCATAGTAGTTAAAAAGTGGAGGCAACTCAGAGTCCACTGACAGATGAATGAATATGAAAAAATGTCATATATAACTAAATACTTAACCTTCAAAGAAAGTGATTTCTGACACATTTTATAATAGCAATGAAATAAAGATTATGAAAAGTAAAATAAGCCTATCACAGAAAGATATTATTTCACTTTTATGAGCTACTGAGAATAGTGCAAATACAAGACAAAAAGCAGAATGGTGGGTCCCACAGACTGGGAGGGGAAAGAGAATTAGGAACTTTCATTTAACAGATATGGTCATTTCATTTTACAAGATGATAAAAGAGCTATAAAGATGGATGGTGGTGATGGCTACTCAATCCTATGTGTGTCTAATATCATTGACCTGTGCACTTAAAATGGCTGGGGGGCAAATTTTATATACATTTTTCCATAATAAAATTTAAAAAATTCATTAACAATGCATGAACACAATCTGTCTTGTTCAACAAGTAGCAAATTGACTACTATAAAAGATAGGAATTAATATTCTTCTCACTTCAGAAGTGAAGTAACCAAGACATGGGGAAATTAAGAAAAGAGGTAATATTGTAAAGCTCTTGAGGTGAACCGGGGTTGCCTCTGATCCATCTAGTGTGCATCTGTGATCAATAACTCTTCAATTAACACTGAGCTCTGTGGAGTGCTAAGTCCTCTTATGTTGTAAATTCTTCTGGCAAACAATTCTGAAGTGTACTTGCTAATTTCAAAAATACAGAATTAACTTAAATGTGGGCAAGCACTTAATATTGTGCGTCCAAGTGGGCAGAGGCCCTGTTTGTTTTGTCACTCTGCTGGAGCCAGGT